CTCTCCGCACCACATACCTGCTCTATTCTGTGGTTCAGGTTGTGCAGATTGTTGTCTTAATCCTCCAATCAGTTTTCTAGGTGTGTAGGATGGTTTAGTGTTGGTCTGGCTGTATTTCATGGACATGAGACACACAAAAAGCTTCCATGCTGTTCCGCCATCTTGGCTCCTCCTTCTTATATGATTTTAGTAACTTGAAATTTGTTGAAACTTCCCTGTCCTAGAAAAAAGTCTATTTTGGTAAATGTTTCACATGAACTTGAGGAAAAAAATGTATTCTGACATGGTTTAAGTCCTACTGGCTAACCATGTTGTTCAGATCCTTGGTACTTGTGTTGGTCCATTTGGGCGGCTAGAATGAACTACAACAGACTGGGTGGATGATAAGCAACAGAAATTTATTGCTTACAGTTTTGGAAATAGTCTTCTTGTTCTGCCCTTAAATACTTAAAAATCACTTGTTCCATAACCTTTCCATCAAGTCCCAATCTTCAGCTACACCACAGCAAATTGGCCTCTATGTTGCCTACATAGGTTTTCCTATTGCTTCATCACCAATGAGGAAGCCTAGGTGATCAACACCTTTCATCACCCTCCCTTGAGCTCGATCACCCACTTTCCACTTTTGCTGACTCCTTACTGGCAGAACAGGAGGGGATGATAAGCTGTGGTTCTGTGTTTTCAGCATCTCCTAATTTTGTCTACTGTGTGCCCCAGTCTATCACACAGGCTGGCAGCCCTCCCGCCAGCTTCCTCCTGGTCTGTTCCATGCTGACTGGGGACAGAGATGGGTGTCGGGAGCTATCTGACCATCCACAGCAGGGCCACCCTCTCCATCTGCGGGGGGGAGGGGAAAGGGAGGAGCCGGGAAGCCCAAGCAGAAGTGAGAGAGCAGCAGGCTGGTCAGCTGCAGCCACCACTTCTGCCACCTAGGCCAGAAGGCCATCCCACCCCACCGTGGCCCCCTCCCCCTCTCTGTCCCCTCCTCCTCCCTCCTGTCCCCACCCTCTGATGGCTTTCTTTAGTGATATTACTTGGATTCCTTTCTCTTTGTTTTTTTACATATCTATTAATAGTTTTTGATTGTGGTTACCGTTAGATTTGTAGATAACATCTTATGCACATAGCTGTTTATATTTGATGATCGCTTAAGTCCGAACCCATTCTTTTTTTTTTTTTT